AGTGGTGATGGTTGTACAACATTGTGAATGTAATGCCAGTGAATTGTTCACTTAAAAATGGTTAGGAGCTGGGGTACAGGGGGTGAAGGAGAGCACTTATGTGGTGATCAAGAAATAACGTACAACTGAAATTTCACATTGATGTAAACTATTATGAACTCATTTAAAAAAATTTTTTTAAAAACAGTTAGGGGCTGGCCCCATGGCTCAGTGGTTAAGTTCACACACTCCACCTCAGCATCCCGAGGTTTCACCAGTTTGGATCCTGGGCAGACCTAGCACCGCTCATCAAGCCATGCTGAGATGGGGTCCCACACAACAGAGCCAGAAGGACCTACAACTAGAATATACAACTATGTACTAGGGGGCTTCAGGGAGAAGAAGAAAAAGAAAAGAAGACTGGCAACAGATGTTAGGTCAGGTGCCAATCTTAAAAAAAACAATTATAAAAAATGATTAAAATGACATATTTTATGTTACATATACTCTGCCACAACAAAAATTCTTTTAAAAAATTCAGAAGCTAACTTGAAGGGACTCTCGCTGGTCAAATGTGGACATCAAAATAATGATAGCAATGGAATAAAATAGGAATCCATGAGTCCACAGCGATATAAACAAAGTTCTGGTTTTTTTTCTTAAAGGGGGTGATGGACAGAAGAAAAAGTTCTTCCTCACAACAGAATGCCTACATAATAAACGTAGAAAGAACATTCTAATTATAAAATTATCCATTAAAAATGATATTAATAACTAATTCAGGCAAGAAACAAGAGTGGTTGCTAAAACTTAGTGGGTGAGGGTGGGATGAAGACTGGCAGAATCATATAGTTGCAAAGCATCTCCCCACAAAACACTTACTAATTTCAGGAGAGGAGGCTAACTTCATAGTGAAGAAATTTTGCAGACCCCATCTTAATGAAGTGATAAAAGTTAACACCACCAATAAGGAGACAAACCAACAAGATGTATAACCTAACAGGATGCAATAAAAAGAATACAGCATCACTTCAGGGGTTGCCCGAGCAAAAGTGCATAACCTGAATCTAATCATGAAGAAATATTAGACAAGCCTGGATCAAGAAACATTCTACAAAATATCTGCCCTGTATTCATCTTGTCCAAAACAGTGAGCCATCAAACTCAAGGAAAGACTGAGGAATTCTCTCAGATTAAAGAAGCCTACAAAAATATGACCCATGAGCTCAGATGAGAACTTTTTGCTATAAAGTCCATTACTGGGACCTTGTTGGAGACATTAATGGGGTCTCTGGTGAAAGGTTACAGGAGTTCTTTGAATTATTCTTCCAACTTCTATAAATTTAAAAATTGTTTCAAATAAAATGTTTTAAATGTTCTAATGTTTTCTTTCCACAATACAAAGAATTACTAAATACAGCCCACTGACAAAAACAAAAATACTAACTAGCATGGTTTTCCTAATTGCTCAGAACTTTATTCTCTTACCAATATAGACAATTACTCTTTGCATGGTTTACAACGTAGTGATTTTTTCCCCTAAAACAACAGCTATTTCCTATTCACAAAGTCTTTCAGATAGGAACTCTTCAAGGAACCCACCTGACAGGGAACAGCTTAGAGATCCAGAAAGATCCAGCCAGCAAAAGCTATAGATTTTGTGACAGCATAAAACCTGCAATGTTACTACAGACACCCACACTTGTGGTGAAGGTGCAGGAAAGCAGGAGGGTGTAAAAGTAGAAGCACTTTCCACTCCACTGCCCTGTGTTATTTTTATTACAAAACTTATCTGTTCAGTTTTTTATCTGCTTACTACCTATAATCCATACTCAAATGTAGGCTTCACGAGAGTAGGAGTTTTTTATCCCCAGAGGCTAGAAGAGTACCTGATATATACCAGACACACAATAAATATTTATCAAATGAATGAATATACTATACAGAATGAACTCTATACTCTGAAAACAAAGAATATAACTTCTTTTAATGACCATAGTACACTTAAAAATACTAATACTGATGAACTAATGAACCATTAATGATAAATGAATTTCAAACAGCAGAATAAGAGTACAACAAACATTCTATGATCACAGAATAACTAGAATATACTATGTCAGAACCAGTATAAAATTGCTATATATCAGAATGTATGGGATATAGTTATAGCAATGCTTAAAGGAAATTTCAAAATCCTAGTTATGTTAATAAATAAGATGGAAAGAAAAATAAACTAAGAATCCAAATTAAAATGTTAGATTTTTTTAAATGGAAACATAAGCGTTATAGGCTTTTAGAAGGCAAACTGAAAACATCTATTAAAATTTAAAATACATAGGCCATTTGACCCAGAAATTTAACTTTTGGCAATCTGTTCCATAGAAACTAAAGTACTGTTTCATAAAGACATTAAGTACTCGGACTTATTGTGGCACTGTTTTGTACTGGAAACAGAGTGAATATTCATCAATAAGTGAACAGCTAAATTATTTGGTATATCCACATCATGGAATATTACTTGGCAATTAAAAAGATTCAGATTAGAGTTAAGTCCATACTTGAAGGGATTTCCACAAGCCACTGAATGAGAAAACCAACTTACAGAAAAATATATATAACATGATCTCATTAACAACAATCAAACACCCCAACTGCTTATGCAAATAGAGAAAAATACAGTAGAACATATACAAAGCTGTTAATATGGCTGTGGGAACTAGGGAGTCTTATTTTTTATTTTATTTATGTAAAATTATACACATACAAGAAAAAATAAAATGCTAAAAGACAGAGAAAGAATAAAGATAAAAACAGAAACCATCACTTAAAAATTGAAAACAGTAGAACTAAAACCTAAGAACTATTACTTTGAGGGAATATAAACCATTAGCTAATCTAATCAAAAAAAGTTCTTTTTAAAAAAATAATAATTTTGCCTTTCATATTTAGGTCTTTATTATACCAGATGTTTATTTTGACACATCAGGCTTCCTATGTCACGTTTTTTCAAATGGATGGCTGTTTGTCCCGGCACTATTTATTGAAAAGTTCATTCTTTCTCCATTTGATTTGTAATGCCACTGTTGGTATATCTCAAACTCCTGGATATGTCTAGGTTTGTTTCTAGACTCTCTATTCAGGTTTACTGTTTACATTACTACAGCTTTATAAGTTTTGATATATAGTATTTTGAGTCTTTGCAGCTTTTTCAAGACTATTTTTGCCAACTGGCCCTTTACTTCTTCACATTAATTTTAGAATCAGCTTGCCAACTTCCATGGAAAAAAATCCTGGAATTTAGACTGGAACCAGATTGAATTCATACCTGAATTTAAGGAGAACTGGTATGATACTGTCTCTTCTCAGCCAGGGATGTCACATATATGTTGCTCTTTTTATTCAGGTCTTTTTAGATGCTCTTTAGAAATGACATATAATTTCACCTATGTAGGTCTTACACACTTTTGTTAGATTTATTCCTACTATTCCTTATAGTTTTTATGCTATGGTAAATATTTTTAAATTACGTTTTCTAATTTATGCTGCTAATAGTTATTTATATCATATTGAACTTTGCTAATTTCCTAATAGTTCTAATAGTCTATAGACTCTTGAGTTTTCTGCAAACATAATTATACCATCTATAAATAGTCTTGTTTCTTTCATTCTAACCCTTATAACTTTATTTTTCTTACTGTGGGGGCTGAGACCTCCATTACCACGATGAACAGAAGCAGTGATAGCAGGCATCATTGCTTTGTTCTGATTTTAAAGCAAATGCTTCTAAATTTACCATCAGTACAGCAAATGTGCATTTATCATATGAAGGAAATTCTCTTCCATTCCTACCTGGTTAAAAGTTTTTATGATTACTGTGTTAACTTTAACACAGTAATTAAAGTTTATCAAAGTATTTTTCAGCATCTACTCTCTATTGCTTCTTTTGGGAGAGACAGTCTGCCATGAGTTCTGAATGTCCCTGCACATCCCCGCCACGTATGCCAAAGTGCAACACCTAACCATCCACCAATACTGAACAGTTTCTGTAGCTGGACACACAGACAATTCAATAGGCCAAGGTAACCACAGCATAACTACTGTGTGATTGCTCCTTCCCAGGGAAAGAAGGATTGACTTGCTTCCTGCTTGCTACAAAAGGTACCAAGCTCTTGACTCTGGTTCCTCGGCAGCACTGCATCCCACTCTATGTACAGCCATCATCTCTGCCTGTCACATTTCCCTGTGGGACTTGGGGAGAGGGAACTGTCACCACCACACTGATGCCCCTGCTGACTGCTGTGCTGTGAGTTACAAACTGCCTTACTATGATCCATTGAATCATGAGGTCTACTTTTGGCACCTAGGGAGTTGTGGCAGTTGACTTCTTTCATTTTTCTATGGGTTATTCTCTGACAGTTTGTAAGAGATGTTGAAAAGACTTCTTTTATAACTTCCAACACTATTACTGTGAATCCATTTAAAAAAAAAAAACTATCAATCTGGTTAAATCTGTCCATCTTTTTTTTTTCCAACTATTCTATCAGATGCCTCTATAAGTAACCAAAGCATGATTGAGGTCCTTTCAAAATGTGTTTTCCCAACAGAACTTTACTGATCAAAACAAAGCAACTGAGAAAATGCCTTATAATAGGAGACATTTTGTAATGATTCAAATATTCTAAAATACATGACTTGCCTTCTAATTAAGCAAATATATACCTTATAATCCATACAACACATTAAGAATAATAATTAATTTGATAAGAATATATTGAGTTCAAATATTTTAAATATATATTTTTATTACCAATTACAAAATGCCAATAGACACAGAACACTAGCTATTAGGGCTACTGTCATATTGCATAGTCACAAAAAGAATATAATGCTTGTCGTTTCCAAAATTTTAATCCTAATAAAACATATTGCATCTATGTGCCTTGAGGTTAGATTTCAAAAGCAGACAGCTCAGTTAGTCAAGTATCAAAGTAGTTATGTTACTATTTTTATTTTTTTACCTGTATTCAGGCTGTCGGCCTGCAGAATGATCATCTCTTGTCCACCTATAGCCAGATTCATCCTGTAAAATAAAAAAGTTACTTAGATATTTGTTTATATCATTTTGCTCAAGGAGGATGTATCTAACACTACTACTGGAAACTAGTCTCTGAGACCAAAATAATATGAGGGCAAAAGCACCTTTCTAAATTTCTCTGAGCTTCAAAGGCATAAAAAAGACAAAAAGATACACCAAGTCATCCATTCCAACAACTAATTTATTGAGTGGGATCCTGTGCTACCACTTAGCTCTGTGAAAGGGCCTAAAGTATTTCTTGAGTCGGCCCTGACAGCCTTACTCCCGAAGACATACACACCACCACAACAGCTACGGGCTGCTCCAGGACAAAGGCTCAGTTCACATTTAATCAAGCATACATTTCTTGACCTTTCATTTTTATTCTTCCTTTTGTCAAGTTCTCTCACCAATTTCCAGACAAACTCAATGAATTTACTCCTTTACACCACTTATCTTGGTCCAGCTTTCTTTCCTCATCTTACTTTCCATTAAAAACATTGGAAACAATAAGAAACCATCACTTATTAACAAGTTATATTAGAGCAAGACGTGGCACTAAATTTAATCAAACAAAGCACAATCTGTCCTCTGAAAGAGATATATTTGAAAAGGTGGATAAAAAAGAACCACATAGTAATCTACATCCAATTACTCTAAAATTATACATAGAACAATATAACATGTGAATTAGTCAGAAACACTGATTCAGCTAAAATGAATTCTATCTTCATCCTCCTCTTTAGCATCACATACCCTACTCTTACATAAGTAAATGTATTTATCATTTCCTTCTCAACATTAAATATAAACAAACAAAAGAAAAAACTCAACAGCTTTAATAAAATATTGGATCAAGTAGTTTGCTTTATAAGACTGAACTCTAGATAAGAATCAGTGTCATGAGAATCCTAAGCATCTCAACTGGGATTGTTTGTTTGAAGAGAATTTAAATAGAAAATGTATAAAGTATGAACACACATAATTTGTAACATAATAGAAAAAATTATTGTTGAAGCACTACTATGCTACATGGTTTTAGAAAAAAATTATGTTCATGAAGATTCACACAAACTGGTCCAATGAATCCAAAATTCCCTATCTACACTAAATGGCCACAGGGTTTTCATAATAGGGATCACAACTTTATACTTAAGTAAGAAACAAATTGTTTCTTCCTGAGACTATGTGGAAGAACAGTCCCAATGGCAAAATCCAGTATTTCTAGAGTAGAGATAATGCATAATGTTTACTTTTCAACATCAAATCCCTCTTCCTAAAGGAACAGTGTGACATTTAAAAACTGAAAAAAACAATCAATTCTATGAGTAGTAAGGAAGCTGTAACATTCCAAACTTTAAAAACAAGCACAAGAAAAGACTGAATGGTCTCATTACCACTGTAGAATTGTCAAGGATCACTATGATGTAGTAGTAAGAGAAATGGACTCCTATACATACCCACCCTTGTAAACCACCTTACCTCCATTTCTTCAAGTGTAAAGTATGGAAACTAATTCCAACAGCCAATGTGAGGTCAAATTTCATGATAAACAATGTTTGAATATGTACTGTTAATTATAATATTATATAGTAGGGAAGGGGAAAAAAGAAAATGTAGGAAAACAGTCCAGTAGAGGAATGTTGTAAACATGCAACCTAGGTCAAAGGAATTGCAACAAGGAATAGTTTCAATCAAGTTCAATGACAGATTACTACAATAATAAATACAATACTAAATACTACAATAAATACATACTTCTAGATTACTAAAGATGACCAAGAGAAACAAAAAATATAATAGTAGTAATAGTAACAATAGCAGCTAACATTTAAAAAGTTATAGTACAGGCAATGTTTTGAGTGCTTTCTAATCTGAGTTAGTAAGTAGACTTTAATAATATCTATAACAAAAATGAGACTGAGTCTCAAGAACTTTAACCCAACCTCACCCACAGCATTCCATCATGACGAAAATAATCAAAGTAATTATAAGTGGGCACATCCAGTAAGAGAGGGTAACCACCTGCTCATCACTCATTGAGTACAAAGGCAATAAACAGATTACCTTTATCTGGTTCTGCAAATCCTTGCCAACTGAGGGGATAGAAAAGCAGGCTAGTTGGAATTAATGTCATGTAGAAAGAGCTATCCAGAGTGTTTACCCACTTCGCCCAGCACCCCAGGATTCTTGACTACCAGTTCCCATTTGACAGCTCCAGCAGGCAATTCAACAGAGCATCAAGCAGGAAGTGTTTATTCAACTGCCTCCATGGCCAGTCACATAAACTTCAAAAATTACATGATTTTTAAACTTATAAAAAATAACAATTAGTACATGGGGGAAATTTACATACTCCTCTGTGAGGTGGACCACTTCTTCGATCATGAGAAAAACTGCGGCCCTCGTCATAGTCTCGGTAATCAACATGACTGTAATATCTATTGTAGCTTCCTTCACCAGGTCTGTCTAGTAGTGGTGGTTTCTTTGGCACAATATTAACTACTCTATGGTAGCCATCCTAAAACAGACAAAAAGAAATATATAAAAATCACTAATTTCTCTATTTGGTTTTGGAAAGGTTTTTTAAAAGCACAGGAGTTCTTATCCTTAATCAAATTAGGGTAAATGTATAAAGAAACAAAAACGCATTAATGAAATAACATGAACATAACTAATAGTAAGTTCTTCACATGGATCAAAGGAAATAAAACTGTTTAATGAAGAAAGCCAGGTGTTTAAAATAACATGCAGCGATGAGAAAAACCAATCATAAGCAAAAGAAAAGATACAATATTATTGTTTTGATAAAAAAATGCAGAAAGAATGCTACAGTAGCTCTAATCCCTAATTGCCTAGGAATTTTCAAAATAAAACCATTTAAGATAGCACACATCTTTAGCCTACTGTGTTTGAAGTATACTCTTCAGAAGAAATACGAGGTTTTTACACACAATCAACAGTAAACAGAGGTAACATTGAGCTAGAAAGACTGAAAGGAAACATTTTGCTATTTCTCCAGCAGCACTGGAGAGAGGAGAGCTTTTGACTTCACGGTTTTGGAAGCAAAATAAAATCTGATACAAAATTTCAACTAATTTTCAAAGTAATATGTTGTTAGTGTCTTAAAGATTTAGCAACTAACTGGATTTTCTGTAGGGGTTGGGAAATTGGACAGATGGAGAAGAACACATGTCTTAGGTTAGTGGCTGTCGGGAAATAACTGACAAAAATGATTACCACGAGTAAGAACTAGAGAGCTACAGAACACGGATCTATAATTAATCTTGTCTTGAGCATTCATGGTATGTCTTACTATCCAGTCTCAGACGAGATATATGTGAAAGAAATTAGAAAGCTCTCAAAGTATAAGACAGACATGATCAATATGAGTTAACTAATTTGACAAAATGAAAAACCAAAACATAAAGCCCCACATTCAGTGCTGGTTACTTTAAGTCTCACTTTCATTATCTGTAAAACGAGACTGAGACTAATACCTACCTCCTGGGATTGTTGTGATGACTAAATAAAAAACATTGTAAAGCATTTAGCGTAGCAGCGCACATGAAGTGCTCAAAAACGTTTGCTATTCTGATTACTACTTTTGCAAGTCTAAGGGAAAATAGCGTCTATTTCCTTAAATTACTTCTTTGCATTAATAACTACAACTATTCAGTTATTAAATTACAATATCCTATTCAAATTTCCCAAAAGGTAGGAAATTTGTCAGTGTGCTGGGAAAAAACAAAATCAACAGTTCATAAATATTTGAGAGCTAAAATGATCAACCTAATTTTTTTTCCTTGGGGACATAAAGTAGTTCCCTTCTTTAGTATGCTAGACATTAAATTGCAAGATTTATTCTGTATGTTTACATAAAATGTGGTGCACAAATGAATTTATTGACCCTTTCTTGTAAATGTTATCTTTCATGGAGATTTCCATTAAATCTAAGGAAATATTGAGCATCTAAAAAATTTGGCATTAGCAACATTACAATTTACAGCATTTTCTTATTCAAAATTTGTCACTCATACAGTTAGAATCACTGATTTCTCCAATTCCAAGCAACCATAAAATTCCATTCCACAATATCCATGTTTGTTTGCACGTGCTTATTTGGAGGGATGGTGGGGGAGTATGCGTGTCTAAACACTTCAATGAATAGAGTGCTTATGACTTTACCAAGCAGCCTCTTCCTTTGTTCAACTCCCCCAATTACTAGAAGTTATTTCAGAATTGTAAAATATATATGGTAAAACTTCCAAAGAAGCAAAACTCAAATCACATTTATATATTTAACAAACTGTTTTTACAAACTGTTTTCAAATAAGTGAAAAAAATCATTCCAAAGTCGTTAATCAGCAAAGAAAAAACTCCTAATGATAGCTCTATTATCTAGCAATGAAGATCAAATTGACATTTTCTACATGTTTTGAGAAAATGTTCAAATATAAGTACAATATACCATCTCTGCTATGTAGGCATCTAATCTTAAAGAAAATTCCCTAGCTATATGAAAAGATTTAAGGAAATGAAGATTACTACAGGAGTCTCTGACAAAGCAAGACTGTGTTTTCAAAGAGAGTTCATATTTTATTCAGATATATCATTCAAGGGTTTCTTTTTCTTTCCAATAAAATCCATGATGAGAGGCACAGATTTCCAAATTTTTCTTTCAAAAGCTTATATTATTAAGAAAGTTCAAACACTATTTTATATTACCTGTAATGCCAGACCTGAATGGAAATACCACCACTATTTGAAATTCTTGTACAAATCATACATAGAGCTATAAGCATGTAATTTTCCTATCTAAATGCTAACAGAAGTACACAAGCCTTCAGGTATTGATAGGTTTGGAACCTTCATTTTAGAAATATCTTAGAAAACAATGGCACCATTACATACAAACAAGAAATAAAAATTATGACATAAAAAATATCTTTAAAAGTTTTTAAGATAACAGGATCATTTTCAATTATTTTAAAAAAGAACTCAATGGAATTGAAACATTTCTATTATTTAAAATGCAGATATTTCAAATCTTGAGTTTGGACATAAAATCTCAATTTACCTCAATGAAATAAATTTTCACCACTTCTGTTCATTATGAAAAAATCTACAACATCCCTATTAATTAAACAGATCAGAGTAGACCAATTCAATATAATTGTTGCATAATTATGCCACATATCAATTTTCTGTGGATATTACTAGAATTTCCAAAATTACATGTAGAATCTATCAGATTTGCTCCTCCAAAGTTAGTGTTAATGGTATGGTCAATCAGTCCAAAAATAAAAAGTCTATGTAGCTCATACAAAATAAAAAGCCTATTTTAATTAATCATTTATCTACTCCGGCAGGATGTAGAAAGCAAAGACTTGCATATAAACTTAAATACTTTTTCGAAACGTTCTAATTCTATGAAATTTAGACTTCCATATTTGTCATTATCTTAGGGGTGAAACAATTCCTACCCCAAGGCCCTCTGAGTTTCTGAAATAAGGATTGTTCACAGTTTGCTTGTGCTAATGAAAATCTGATCAGATTAAGATACATATTAAATTAGTTTTGCAATTTTAAAATCTGAAATGGTGATTGTGTTTTGTTACAAAATAAGGAATTATTTTTTTTTTCTTTTGACGAAGATCAGCCCTGAGCTAACATCTATCCCAAATCCTCCTCTTTTTGCTGAGGAAGATTGGCCCTGAGCTAACATCTGTGCCCCTTCCTCTATTTTATATGTGGGACGCCTGCCACAGCATGGCTTGATAAGCAGTGCATAGGTCTGCACCCGGGATCCAAACCATCAAACCCTGGGCCACCGAAGCAGAGCACTCTAACTTAACCACCATGCCACCAGGCTGGCCCCAGCAATTATTTCTTAATTTGCTATAAGTTTAAATTTAATGTAACTACCTGCTATGAGAAATGCTTTCGTTTTAGTAACTAAAAGCACCAAGTCTGATGGTTTTGTTTGATTCAATATATATAAAAATCTGTGTCAAAATTTCCACACTGTTTAGTCTCATTATTAGCTGGGCACAAATTGTGAGGAATACTATGTTTCTTTAAAATCACTTATATGCCACTGTCATTAAAATATACTTTGCACTCATTATAATACAAAAAAATCTTACTTAAAATTAAAAAATTTTAATATATAAGCCCCCTGCCCTTAAGCATCCTTATCTTTTAGAGACACACAATGAAATATTTACTTGCATTTGAAAATGGTATCATGGATTTACTTCAAAATAATCTGAGAGGGAAGAAGTGGTGGAGGCATAGACAAAACAGATTGACCGTGAGTTGATAACTGCCGCTTGGATGATTTCTTCATGGGAAGTTCATTATATTGTCTACTTTCATATACTCAATTTTTGCCATTATCAAAACTCAAAAACAACTAAAACACACTAACCTACCAGCAAAATAACTAAGTATGATGGCACATGTAAATACACAATTAACTTACAGATTGAATGCAAGCTTATGGGCACAGAACCCTCACCTGTCTTATTCACTGCTCTATTCCCAGCACTTGTAACAGCACTTGGCACACAGTAAGCACCACATACATAATATATATTCTGCTTGGCTGTCTTAATTTTATATTACTTGTGGCATCATATGCACTGTACTAGAAAAGTACCACAAAACCACACCTAACTAAAAAACTCTATTACACAGGCTAGTAAACTTTTGCTATCATAAGTTTGAGGTTTCCTCACTTACATCCCTCAGATTTTGTGACATGAATTTTTATTGTAGTACTTATTGGTTTAAATTCACTCACTGAATTTCCAATGAAATATTGGTGTTTTGATGTTTCTGGGTCATTTCAACAGCTTTTGGGAACAATGGGTCAAAATTTGAAACTGGAACTGCCCCCAGAAATTTAGGACATACTGTTACAGAATGTAGCCACAAATTGATCATATCTCTCTGGAAATAGTGACAACAAAAAGAAAGTTATGTTCTTGCAATTCTGTCAGCCAAGAAAGTATAATACCTCCTAGGGCAGCTCTCCACAGAGGAGCACTACTAAATCAAAACTCAGCCAAGGAACACTGAAGATTCTCATTTCATGTATGTAATTTTCACATTAAAAACACTGGAAAAAAATTGCACTTTAGCTAATGAGTGCACTGTTATCCACAGTTTACTTTGAAATATATCCAAAAACTTAGGTAGATTAAGTCAATGGGTAAAGGACAGTTAGAAGGATAAATATATGATAAAGCAAGTTTAGTAAAATATTGATAGTTGAATCCAGGTGGTGAGTAAATAGGGGTTCACTATAAAATTCTTTCGATTTTGATGTATGTTTGAAAACTTTCATAATAAAATATTGGGAAAAGTTGTACTTTCATGGGTAAATTTACATGAACAGTGGCTACATAAAATAATAATAAAATGTGGGGCATAAAGAGAATAGGAATTAAAATACGCATGTGAACATTTTAAATAAAAGTGTTTCATGAAATAAGGGTGGGAAGAAAAGGAATA